AGTCCATAGTATACCATTCCTCTTTGGCCAACCTGACTACCCTGACTTTGGCAAGAATCAAAATTAAATACAATCCAGATGTCCTAACAGAAAGAACAAGGCACTAATTAAATATTTTTGATGATACTATACCAAAATAGTATCTCTTAAAGGAAAAATAAATGTAGAAGAAATAGTCTTAGAGATGGGCTTCATCCCAAAAGGCTGACGTATCAGGACCGAAATGTTAATCTTTTTGAAGCACCCAGGACCAGCTTATAAGATTAACAAATAATAAATCACTTTAGAGAGGTTGTCTTCATCTGGGAGAAAAATAAGCAAGACCAAAAGTGAAAATAAACATCAAAAACAAAAGCTATTTTTGTTCTGGGGGGAAAAAAAAGCAAATGGATTCAAAAAAATGAATCCATTTGGCACTCAGAAGAAATATTTTCATTTCCTTGCTCTTCTATGTGTCCAGGCACCACTTCAAAGTCACTCATTTGTACTAAAATCAGTTTGGTGGCACAGGAATGGTAATTCAAAGAGCTGAAAAGAAAAAGTATTCTCCTTTGAAATGCAGAAGCCTCAAAAAAGTCCATGAGGCTAAAGGAGCACATGAAGATAAAGCAGCTAACTGTAGAGCTGAGGACCATCTGCTTCCACTCTGATCAGATTTCTGTTAGCTTTTCATAAATTGCTAGTCTCTCCATCATTTAACTTCCTCCACTGAAACAATAAGAGCCCTGTAAGAAATACCAATGATGATAATTACTAGTAGAAACACTCTCCTGGAGGAGTCCAGGAAGAATTTTCTCAACTGATTAAAAAAACCTGACCCTCAAAATAAGAAATGAATTAAGCATGTCTATAATGCAATTACACTTATTTGAAAAGGTAAATGTACACGTAAGCACCTATAGTGCTGAGCCAGCACTGATGGCCTAGTAGTTAAAATTTGGTGCTCACCGCTCCGGCAGCCGGAGCTTACTTCCCGGGTGCAAAAATCACACCACTCGTCTGTCAGTTGTCATGCTGTGGTGGTGGCTCACACAGAAGAACTAGAATGACTTACAACTAGGATATACAACTATGTACTGGGGCTTTGGGGCTTGGGGGCTCTGGGGAGGAAAAAAAAAAAGAACCTATGGTCCTGAAAATTAAGGATGGGGAAAGGGAGAGACAAAGATCATCGGGCAACTAAGATGGTCTTCCTAAATAGAGGGGAAGCTGGCACATATGAATAATGCCATCAAAACACATGTATGAATATGATCAATGCACTCATTCAGCAAATACATAACGAGAGCCCCTGAGCGCCAGACTCTGTGCCATACCATACAGATCTGCCATTCTGGACTCATATTCTAAGGGAAGGAAAGAGAACCCGCAAGCTTTCAATCCAAGAAACCTCCTTCAGCTTCCTAAAGCTCTTCATTAATTGTATTGGCACTCTAACATAAATATTTTTAAGTTTTTTTAATTAATTAAGAGAAAGGTAAGATTTCTTCAAGCATGGGGAAATCATACTGGAAAGTATTTCCAAAATGAAATAATTGGGTACAACATACACAAATTGGTGCTAAGAAAAGCACACGGTGAAAAAGCATAGTGTTTAAAGTTTGGGTCAAAGAGTAAATAACATGAGTGAACCTGTAACATTTCAGAAGCCCTATCCAGGTAGCAAAAGCCCAATTTCGTAAGGTAACATCAAGTTAAACTTCTATTCCTGGTGAAATGCTACTCATTGTTCTGGCAATATATATATATATATAGTTCCTAATTAAATAAACTACCGCAGCAAGACAAATAAAAAGGAATAGAAAGGAAAAGAACATCATAAATTCTTCTAGATCCAGTACTGATTCTCCTGGGTCTACTCTGATATTTGTAGGAGCTGAACACAAACACCTCTGCTCATAACAATAAAATAGTAACAAAGAATAACATTTTAAAAAACATTTCTATGGTATTAGAGATTAATTACGTATCACATCATGAAGTATTATTTCAAATCCACAACAAAGAAGACAATGGAATAGGCCACGACCTAACAAGACCTATTGCCATAATGATGTTAACCATGTCAAATGGCTAACCAGTGACAACAGCAACACTTCCCAGTATGATCCTGTGTCTTTTTTTCTTCATTATCATTATCAAAATCAATGCCACCAAACATACCTTGTACCAAGTCAATCTTTCAAGAGGGCCAGAAGGCCTAATGGAAGCTGTATGAGAGGCCAAATAAAAAGATCCAAGCTCTTATCTCATTTAGCTGCTAATTTGGGAGATTTTTAAATGAAGTACTTAATTTGTTCATCCTATTCTTCCGAGGTAAAAGGAAAGAGGTCAAGAAGATATCCTCTACAGCCCCTTCTTAGCCATTAATAAAAACACTGCTGCTTTGCCTATGTATTTCCCAAAGTGACATCTCCCTGGGATAACAAGGGAGATATCTGTACCTCTGTCCCCCCAAAAATGAGCCAGTTAGTGGTCAAATAAGTTTCAGAACACTGTCTTAATCAAAATTAGGCAGATTTCCTTCCCAGGACTTCTCAGAGCCTTTAATCCAACTACAAAGACATGTCAAAATTCTTTACTTTTAGCTAAAATCTTGAAAAAGGCACAGATGGGAAATGTACTGGGAAAAGTTCAGAAACATTCAGTTTTGAAAAATTAGGCTACAAAGCACCTAAGAGGCAGCATAGTATAGACAAAGGGAATGGGCTTACCAGCTTTGTAACTTTGGACAAATTACTTCACCTTGTACCTCAGTGTGCTCAATCTGAAAAATGGGGGAAATAGTACTAACTTCCTAAAATAGCTGAGGATTACATGAGGTAACATATAAAACCATCTGAACGAAGCCTGACACAGAGTAAATACTCAATGAATATTAGCTATTGTTTTTGTTACCTACTTTGCAAGGTTATCCTAAGCATAGAAATACATATAATCTATAGAACTTATGTCTGGCAAGTAGTAAGCACTCGATAAAAAGTCATTGAATTGAACACATATAAAGTCCTGATAACAGTGCCTAGCACAGACTAAATCTAAATTCATAGGTGCAGTACTGAATGTCACTATGATAATATGTCATTCAGCTTACAGGGTCTTAACCATTAACAACAACACTGCTGCTTTGCCTATAATAACATTTCCCCACATCTCCCTAGAATGATAACAACAAAGACATCTGACCCTTGCCCCTTGCCAAAAAAGGAATCAGTGGTCAAATAAGTTTCAGAACTATTGCATTAACCAAAACTAGGCAAAACTAAGTTTCTTTTCTTCCGGACTTCTCAGAGCCTTTAGTATGAATCTTGAACCTCTAAGAAGGGAATATACATTTCCCAAATGCATTTAATCAAGAAACTGTCTTCCACTGAGCAGCTCTTAGGACCTGTGTTTTGTGGAACACAGGATGGAAACTACCCTAACTCAACAGAAAAATGGAAAGAGTATGTAAAGTTCTTGCAAACCATTGTGCCTAGACCGTCTGGTACATCATAGGTTTATAACACCCTTTTGTTGTACAAATATAAAGGGGTCAATATTTTGTCACGGTTGCCAAACATATTTGATCACAGAGTCTTTTTTTTTTTTTTCGCTGAGGAAGATTCGCCCTGAGCTAACATCAGTGCCAGTCTTCCTCTATTTTTTAGTATGTGGGCCACCAGCACAACATGGCTGCTAACAGAGCAGTATAGGTCTGCGCCCAGGAACCAAACCAGGGCCACTCAAGCCGAGCACGCCAAAACTTAACCACTAGGCAACCAGGGCTGGCCCTTTTTTTTTTGAGGAGCATCTGTGGGACTACTGTCCCAAGAAACACACTTGGAAAAATGTTTGTCTACAGAAACGTAGTCCTAGTAACTAATGTGAACTAACATGAACAGGACTGAGCTTAGTATTGCCACTAACACGGATTGTTCTAGGGGAGATACACTATCTTAAGGCCAAAATGTTCACCCCAACAGGTTATCCTCCATCCATTTGCTGGGAGCTAAGGCAGAGCCTAGTAACAGCGTTCACACTCATACCTCTGCTTATATAACTCCCCTCAATTTTCCTTTTTCTCTAACATCTCCCAGGCAACACCACTAGAGGAAAAGCTGGGAAACTAGAACTATATAGCTACATCCTGTATTTACTAGAAGTACTGACAAACTTCTACAGTTCTGCTCCCATTCTCCCTAACTATCCTTTTTGCCTCTTCCAGAAGCTACCTGCCCACCAAAGTTGTACCTCTCACACACAGAGTATATGACCTTTTTCACTCCCTTTATTTAATATTTCACTTTTTTAGGAGAACAACAACTATTAGTGTAAAAACAACAACTATTAGTGTAGTTTAAGTTCTATTTTAATCGATGCCATCATTCCTTCCTTTAGGGGGACTTGTTTCCCATCTCCCTCCTAATAATAAATCTATCTTTTCCTGTCCTAGATTTTCCTCTAACTTGTATCATTTGCCTCAATTTGCACGCATGTCCCAAAATCAAAGGCTCCTTCACTCGTGGACAACAGTCTTAAGATGAAGCGGAAGGATCACATGTTTGATCCAAGAAAAAAAAAGGCAGCTATTTCAACAGGGGGTGGGAAGTTACAAATCTATGTTTATACATAATTGTGTTAGAAATTAATAACGCACATGCAGCGAGCTTAAGAGCCCTTTCATATACAAGTATACATGAATTATCAAAGTTCCTACCCAATGTAAAATTCAGGGCTTTAAGTGTTCCTTTAAGTTAAAAGAAGGGGGCTGCACAAGTTTGAGGAGAGGGCGGTCACCGCACAGCACTTTTGGGTCCTGCAGGGACTAGGGGACGCCTGGGGCAGGGACCCGCCGGCCACGGCTCCAGGGAGTCTCGCTCCAGGTGCCTGTGCGGACCACACGGTCAACCTCGCCCTGGACCTTATTCCCCGGAGCCCCCACCCGGGGCCTGGGGACTCCCCCAGAGCCCTCTGCCTCATCGCCGGGATCCACAGGGCTGATGGGGTCCGCCCGGTACCTGGTCATAAGGGGACTTCTCCAGCATCTGCGTGCACAGATCAGCGCAGAGCTGGAACTTCCTGCGCCTAAAATAGCTCCAGGCCAGGAACAGCGGCTCCATTTCCGAGCCCATGGCGGCGGAGGACGGCCAGCAAAGGACCAGACCCCCTCCCAGGGAGAGGGGGGCAAGGAGCAGGCGGCGTCCAGCTCTGCCCAGCAACGCGCGATGACAGGGGCTTTGCCAGAGAGGAGCCCGCAACGCGCCTGAGAACAGAAAAAAGAAAAACCACCGCAAGCAGAGCTCAGCTATAGGGCTTGCCAAACCTTAGTGGAAAAAATGTGTACTTTTAAAAGCTACATATTTCATTAATTTCAATAGGAAGGCACTGCCGCTAAATTAACAGGCAGTGACTTAGACACCTCCGACCGGGGTCCTCCATCCTCCCGGCGGAGGCGCGGTTGCCTAGCAGCCAAATGCTCTACTTATTCTGCCAGTCCGGGAGAAGTCCTGGGTGTTGACTCTCCGTCCGGCTGTCACTGGCCTGCCCTTCCCCTTCACGCATTCCTACCCCTATCACTTACCCTTCAGACTCTAAAAACACAAACATGAAAACAGCTTCTTCAATACCGTCCCGCCCATCAGAACCCAAAACCCTAAACCCTAAAACTCTCCAGTCTGTTTCTCGAAGTCCTTCTCACCGTATCCCAATGTCCGAATTGAAAGGAGCATTGGAGATTACTTAGTCCAATCTATTCACTTTACACTTGAGAAACTGAGATTGGCTCAGAGTAGAGAAATTATTTACCTAAGGTCGCATGGGATTAGGGAGCTGGACTAAATCTGGGTGACTACAGGCTGTTAATTCTGTTCGTTGATTTGACGATGCATAGGGATTCTGAATTATAAATTGGTGACATTTCTACCAAACAAGATAATGTATGCAAAAAATTTAAAAGGACCTTTTGGAACACCATATCCAAGCACTTGCTGTTTGTCAAATGTTTACTTGCGCAGAGTGATTTCTTCAGGCACAATTCTGACTTTCCTCTAGAGATTACACAGATGACATATCTTTAACGGTTATAAAGAGCAGTGTGACCGGGCTAAATACAAGTAGACTTCATTACGGAAGACTAGGATATCCTTTTTCCTTGCCTCCTTCCTACCACAGAGGAGAGGCAGGAGAGGAAAAATTAATACTGAAGAACTTTCTGATCATGTCTAAATCTCCTGGATAGATAAGAAACGAACTGACAACAGCTCTTAGCAAAGATAAATCACTCACAGTTTTCTCAAACTACTAGGGTACCATAATGCATACATTATATTTAATCCAGATATCTACATCTTTCACGATTAACTCTACGATTTATTCGGATTTCAATATTTTTTTCCCTGATATCCTTTTTCTATTCCAGGATTCCACTTTGGATACCGTATTACATTTAATCACCGTGTCTCCTTTGCCTCCTCTGGTGTGTGACAGTGTCTCATGCTTTCCTTGTTTCCTTATTATGACCTTGACAGTTTTGAAGAGTGCTAGTCAAGTATTTTGTAGAATGGGGAGATTTTAAGAATAAATTCCATTCCTAGAGATTCTGACTTAAATGGTTTCACATAGGGCTGGGGCATCAGTATTTTTTTTGTTCCCCGGGTAATTCCAATGGGCAGCCAGGGTTGAACAACCACTGTGTTGAGTCTAAATGGTCTTGTGTATATTGAGACTATTGCCAAATTCCTAGACAGAAACAAGATTTTCATAAATAGGATAAATAAATACATACATATATATGTAAATAAACATGGGACAAAAAAGAGGCATTAAAATATTTTAGGAGCATATAATTCATCTTAGCTTCTTTCAGAAGGCAAATCTTTTTTTCTTTCAGAAAAGTCAAATGGATGAGGAAAACTGTAGTATACTTAACAAATTGTAGGATGTTAAGCATGTCCAAATAAATACTTAACAAATTGTAGGATGTTGAGCATGTCCAAATATAGCATAAAATGTGCCTTTAAAAGGTTATAAACATTTATTTAATCATGTAAATATGTTTATAGTTGATTAATTTTATGAATGTATAGATAGACTTTGTTACATTTTTTATAATTTCTAATCCATAATGCAGAAACTATTATTTTTTTTTAATGGTACGCTAGTAATAGGACACATAGTAGTTGTAACAGTTCCTAATGGGGGGAGTAGATAAGAATTACTAGGGCCATTTTCTTACTAGAGAAAATGAAGCATAGAGAAACAACCTAATCCCTTTGAAAGGGTCAGTTTCACAATCAGAGCTAGATCTCAGTTCATGGATCCTTATCTTTTGCTCTCTAGCAACTAGATATCTCTTGAGGTTAATTCGGTTTAAAATCAAATACTGAAGATAATGTAACTTTAAACACCAAAGGTTGAATTTCCTTAAATGTTAAATCGGAATTATTCAGACCATTTAAACTTAACCCAAAAGAAAAGCAAAACTATAAAATGAGATATTCTCTTGGTCAACAAGTATTTGTGCCAGCCCTATGCTTGGTAATAAGAATGCGGAAATGAACAAGACAGATCTCCTGCCCCAAGCATACTTATACATAAAGTGTAGTTAGTGGAAAGACCGTTGGACTTGAGGTCTGACTTACTAGCTATGTTTTCTCGAGCAAATTAGGAATCAATATAGGATGGTGATTAAGAAGTGGGTTCTGGAGCCAGATGTCCTATATTTGATCCCGACTCTGCCATGCACTAAATGTGGGGACCTTGGGCAAGTGGTTTAATGGCCCTGTGGCTCTGATGTGTGCTTTACCCTCAATGTAATGTATGTTTCTTTAAGAATTTTTGATTCTGCTTTAAAGGACAAGAAAAACAAACGGGATGGATGAAACTCATAAGAAGTGTTAAGTTTAGGTAGTATGTACATCATTAACCTATAGGACATGTTAAATACAGATAGAATAAATAGACCTTTATGTGTTAAAGGAAACAAATGAGAATGTTACTTGTAAGTACAGTCTTGCATCACTTAACTATGGGGATACGTTCTAAGAAATGTGTCGTTAGGCGATTTCATCTTTGTGCGAACATCATAGAGTGTACTTACAATATGGTATAGCCTATTGCTCCTAGGCTACAAACCTGTACGGCATGTTACTGTACTGAATGCTGTATGCAACTGTAACATAATGGTACATATTTGTGTATCCAAACCTAGAAAAGATACAGTAAAAATATGGTATAAAAGATAAAAAGATGGTACACCTGTATAGGCCACTTTCTGTAAAAGGAGCTCGCAGGACTGGAAGTTGCTCTGGGTGAGTCACTGAGTGAGTGGTGAGTGAATGTGAAGGCCTAGGGCATTACTGGACACTACTGTAGACTTTATAAATGCTGTACACTTAGGGTACACTAAATTTATAAAAAATATTTTTATTTCTTCAATAATAAATTAACCTTACCTTACTGTAAATTTTTTATTTTATAAACGTTTTAATTTTTTAACTTTTTGACTCTTTTTGTAATAACACAGCTTAAAACACACATTGTAGGGGCCAGCCCAGTGGTGTAGTGGTTGAGTACACACGCTCCGCTTCGGTGGCCCAGGGTTCACAGGTTCAAATTCCAGGCACGGACCAACACACCACTCGTCAAGCCACACTGTGGCGGTGTCCAACATACAAAATAGAGGAAGGTGGGCACAGATGTTAGCTCAGGGCCAATCCTCCTTAGCAAAAAGAGGAGGATTGGCAACGGATGTTAGCTAAGGGCCAATCTTCCTCGCAAAACACACACACACACACACACACACACACACATTGTACAGCTATATAAAAAATATTTTCTTTCTTTATATTCTTATTCTATAAGCTTTTTTCTATTTTTAAAACTTTTTTTCACTTTTTAAACTTTTTTGTTAAAAACCAAGACACAAACACACACATTAGCCTAGGCCTACGCAAAGTCAGGATCATCAATATCAAAGTCTTCCATCTCTACATCTTGTCCCACTGGAAGGTCTTCCAGGGCAATAACACGTGTTGAGCTGTCATCTCCTATGATAACAATGCCTTCTTCTGGAATACCTCCTGAAGGACCTGCCAGAGGCTCTTCTTGAGGAGGTGTCACTCTTTTCAGAAATATGTCCATGGTGGTTTGCTTGGTTGGTTTGTTTTTTCCATCATAGATTTGCTTGTAAGCAGATAATGCATCATGAACATTCCTTTCTATTAATGAAAACCTTTCAGTATTGGGGCCCATATTTTAAAACTTTTTAAGAAGCGTGGTGAGGTCTGCAAAATCTGTTGCTAAACACTTCACTGCGAATTTTCTTGGGGGATTTTTTCTTTTTCTTCTTCCGCAGTTTCCTTTTCTCTTGTGTCTTCTTCAGCTATGCATTCCTGTTCCAGTTCCAACAACTCCTCATTAGTCAATTCCTCAGGAACCACCTCCAGGAGCTCCTCAATGTCATCTTCATCCATAGCCAGGCTAAAGTTGTTTGCCATCTCAACCACAGCCTTGTCGATTTTTGTAACTTCCTCATCCTTGGAAAATCCTTTGAAGTCATGGAGAAAACTCTTGAGTGTCTTCTTCCAGGTGCCTTTCATACACTCCATGGTGACATCACCCCAATCCCAAGCAAGGTTCCTGATGCAGTCATAGATGTTGTAACCCTTCCACAATTGCCTCAGTGACTTCCTCAGTTGCAGCAATAGCCTGAGCAAAGGTCCTCCTCAGGTCGTAGGCCTTAAAAGCTTCTGAAACTCCTTAATCCTTTGGTTGGATCAAAGAGGTGGTGTTTGGAGAGAAAAACACTGCTTTGATATAGGGATGAAGATCACCAATAAAAGGAGGATGTCCGGGAGCATTATCAACAATAAGTGAAATCTTGAAAGGTATGTTATTCTCCAAACAGTACTTCTCCATTTCTCTGGCATAGCAATTCAGGAGAGCATCTTGGAAGAGGAGCTGGGTCGTCCATGACTTCTTATTGCTCCTGTAGTACACTGGCAGCGTGTGCTTATTGACATTCTTGAAGGCCCTGCGTGCTCACCCTACCAGATCACAAAGGGTTTCAATTTGTAGCTTGCAACATTGCCCCCAAGCAAGACTGTTGTCCTGTCCTTAAAAGCCCTGAAACCTGGCATTGACTTGGCCTCCTTATGGATGAAAGTCCTTTCAGTCATCCATTTCCAGAATAGGGAGTTTTCATC